TTCCCACCGAAGTGGTCCCTATTTATATACTTGCAATTTCTTACTTTCGAACTGCTAGGTTGGCAGGAGCTGGAACTAGAGACGGGAGCTCACTCCGTCATGCGGCACACTCGGGTCTCGAACTGCTGAACGACCGACCTTCCACAGCCTGCAGTTCAGCGTCTTAACTACTTGAGCCACCGCAGCTTTACGTGGTGTAATTGGGGTTCTTCTGAACCCCTGCAGAGCCTCTCCAGAACTTTCTAGCACTCTAGACAGAGGGCGAAGGGGCATGCTCTGTTGGAAAATTTGGTAAAAATAGTTAGATATTCAGAGTTTGCATTGGGTCTTTGTTCACTGGAGAGGAGGCATATTCTTTGTATGCAAAAATCTTTATTTCTAAAGGGAAGGGTACACGGGAAATCTACAAAACAACAAACACTTAAGACTGCATCCTTGCTGTTACAAATACCAACAACAGACTGTCTGACCACACGGTTGGTAATGGAGATTCTTCTTTCTTACTTGACCCTAGAAAGAAATCACCATGAATCCATTAACTAATGATTGTTAGTAAATAGACTCCATTGGCTCTGTGCCAGGTTTCCCTTCCGGGTCGTCCAAACAATAGCACACAAGCTAAACCCAGTAACCCTATGATGGCTGAATTTAGACCTTGAAACACACGTATTTCCAACATGCTCATGTTGTGGTTCTTACTGACTGTTCTTGTACCATCTGAAATGCTACCATCCGGTCACTGATACGCCACTTCGGTGAACACTCGTCCCTCGCTGAGATGGAGCGCATCCCCGATGGCCTCCTCGATGGGTTTAAAGATCTGCCTGTTCCAGAGATCCTTTAGTTGGTGGTTTAATGGGTAGAGTGCTGGACTAGGAACTGGGAAACCCAGGTTCGAATCCCTACTCTGCCGTGAAAGCTTGCCGGGTGACCTTGGGCCAGTCACACGCTCACAGCCTAACCCACCTGACAGGGTGGTTGTGAGTATAAAATGGAAGACAGGAGAATGATATAAGCCTTGCTGTATCCGCACTGGGGAGAAAGGCAGGGTTTAAGGAAAGTATATGAATAAATTCAGTGTATGCTGAGGGGCTAATCTATTGGTACCGCTGGAGAGAAGTGGATCCCTCCCATACTGTGAATTGTTCTGAAGCCTTCTGATTTCACACTCTAAACTTGTATTGTGAACTGCCTTAAAGATTTGGGGAGATCGTTGAAAGGGCCATCACAAAAAACTGCTGAAATAAAGGTAAAGGTTTCCCTTGCTCGAAAGCCAGTCGAATCTGACTCTAGGGGGCAGTGATCATCTCCGTTTCCAAGCCGAAGAGCCAGCGCTGTCCGAAGACGTTTCCATGGTCATGTGACCGGCATGACTAAACACCGAGGCGCACGGAACGCTGTTACCTTCCCACCGAAGCAGTACCTGTTTATCTACTTGCAGTTTCTCGCTTTCGAACCACTCGGTTGGCAGGAGCTGGGGCCAGCGACGGGAGCTCACTCCATCACGCGGCACTCGGGTCTCGAACTGCCGAGCTTACAGACCTTCCAGTCTACAGCTCAGCATCTTAAACTCTGAGCCACCGCAGCTCCGAAATAAAGGTAGCCACCCTTTTACAGGAAGCTGGTGATTTGTGGGCCACAAACCCTTTTATATGCCATCTGCATCCTGCCATTTGGGGAACGTACGCAGGGTGCAGGAAGAGGATCGGGTCCTTTTCTTCTACCACCCAGCTCCAAATGTGTTGGCTGAGCGTTTTCACCAGGAGAAAACCCACCCCTGCCTCTTCTGGTTCTGACAAGGAGAGCAGGAAATTGGCTGTGACCGTTCTGAAATGTTGTCCGTCAGCCGCCCTGTGCCCTGGGTAGACTGTTGCCAGACGTGCGTGGCAGAGCGTTAATAACTTTTGTCAGTTTTATCCTGACTATGTTTTTCCAAAAGTAAGAAAAGCCTTAGCTAAGTTGTTTCAGGCTCAAACCATTTGCTTAGCATACAAGGGCTGGATCTGACTGTCAGAATCCCCACTGGCTCAAGACTGCGGTTGCCAGCCTCCAGGCAGTGACTGGGGATCTCCAGGGGACGGAGATGAGTTCCCCTGGAGAAAATGGTCCTCAGCGGAACTGAGGCAGCTTCCTTAAACCTCTGACTCCACGGTCATGGATGACCGAGCTTGGAACTTAGACTCCTAATTTCTCGTTGCTAATGATATTATCTGAAAATCCCTGATGGCAATTTTTCTTCTTTGTTTTTTAATTAATTGTAATCCTTTTCCGGGGAACTGCGGTGGCTCAAGTGGTTAAGACGCTAAACTGCAGGCCGTGGAAGGTCAGTAGTTCAGCAGTTTGAGACCCGAGTGTGCCGCATGACGAGGTGAGCTCCCGTCTCTAGTTCCAGCTCCTGCCAACCTAGCAGTTCGAAAGCAAGAAATTGCAAGAAGATAAATAGGGACCACTTCGGTGGGAAGGTAACAGCGTTCCGTGCGCCTCGGTGTTTAGTCATGCCGGCCACATGACCATGGAAACGTCTTCGGATGGCGCTGGCTCTTCGGCTTTGAAACGGAGATGAGCACCGCAACCCTAGAGTCAGATTCGACTGGCTTTCGAGCAAGGGAACCTTTACCTTTACCTTTAATCCTTTTCCGAGTCGTCGCTTTGGCTTTTTCAACATTTGTGTGTCCATAGGTCGGCATTATACATCACGAGAGGGAGACCCACAAGAGCGTGTGGGTGAGGGGAGGCCACATTCCTGTGTGCCCCCCTTCCTGTGGGCCTCTTCTGTCTTGGCGGAGCTGAGGAGAGCCGTTCCTCTCCGAGACCCCTCCCCACTAGCAAGCCAGTGATCGCTTTCCGCTCCAAGCCTCACACTGCCAGAATTCGATATAAAAATATTATAAATGGCATGCATCGTACATAGAGGTGGCACACAGCAGCTATTCAGCCTGTGTACGCAACAGACAGATCTACAAAGCTGCAGAGAAAAGCACAGAAATGAAAGCACTGACAAAAATTTGAGAACTATAAGAACCGAGCTGGCAGCCCGAATGCTCCCCCTAAGTGTCGGAGTCTTGTGAGCAAAAATTCTGCTTTGTGAGCTACTGGCATTAAAAGTTGTGAGCGAGTGATTTGGCTCCTGTATAAATTAATTTACTCTGGACTGGAGCCATCCTTCCTAAGCGAAGGCAAAAATGTATGAGCCTAGATGGGGGAAGGCTATTAAGTGGGGAACAAAAAAGTTTAAAGAAAAAAGAGATGCTGATGTTTCCTGATGTTTGTACTAGCGAATTTCATTGATGCTCTTGTATGCCTCTGTAAAAATCTGGGAAAGATTGAAGGTCAAAGAAGACGGGGACGGCAAAGGATGAGATGGTTAGACAGTGTCACAGAGTCCACTCTCCGAAGCAGCCATTTTACCCAGGGAAACTGATCTTTGTAGTCTGGAGCGATCAGTCGTGCTGCAGATCGTTATGGTTGGGAAATCCCTGGAGAATTGGTTGATGGAGCGTGAGGAGAGCAGGGTTTGGGGAGGGACAGACCTCAACCAGTTGGGTGTCGTGGTTAGGAGTGTGGACTCTAATTTGGGAGAACTGGGTTTGAATGTCCCCTCCTCCACAGGCAGCTGCTGGTGTGACCTTGGGTCAGTCACAAGTTCCCTCAGCGCTGTTCTCTCAAGAGCAGTCCTCGGGAGGGCTCTCTCAGCCCCACCCACCTCTCACAGGGTGTCTGTTGTGGGGAGGGGAAGGGAAAGGAGATTGGGAGCTACTCTGAGACTCCTTCGGGTAGTGAAGGGCGGGGGATAAATCCAATCTCCTCCTCCTCCTCCTCCTCCTTCTGCAATGAGTGGATTTTTCAACAAAACTGATGGAGTTTTTTAAAGAGTTTGTTATTAAAATAAGGCTGTTTTAGTGACAGAATCCCAAGCCAATGGGCTGAAGTGCTTAATATTGACCTTAGAATATGCTCTGATACCCGATTCACATGGCCTTGTTGGCTGTTGCCTTCTTCTTGCTGGTTGAGAAGGAGCCAGGGTTGCCAGGTCTGGGTTGGGAAATACCTGGAGACTTTGGGGGCGGATCCAGGAGAGGGCGGGGCTTGGGGAGGGGAGGGGCCTCAGCATGGCCCAAGGCCACAGAGTCCACCCTTCAGAGCAGCCCTTTTCTTCAGGGGAGCTGATCTCTGTCAGCTGGAGATCAGTCGTCAAAGTGGGAGATCACAGAATCATAGAATGGGAGAGATGGGAGTGACCTTGAAGGTCATCTAGTCCAACCCCCTGCACTCTGCAGGAGCATAGCTGAAAGAGAGCCCTACATACCTACAACTTACCCGAAAGATGGTCATCCAGCCTCCGCTTGAAAATGTCCAGCGAAGGAGCATCCACCCCCCTCCCGAGGCAGATCCCCAGGCCCCACCTGGAAACTGGCAACCCTACAAGAGGCCCCCCAACAGTTCAAGCTTCAGGGTCCCAAAAATGTAGGTCCGCCACTGGCACTGGGGGAGAGTTAGCCCCCCCCCCTCCACAGTGTTGTGGCCTCAGTCTACAGCTACTTTTAAAGGTAAAGGTTCCCTTGCTCGAAAGCCAGTCGAATCCGACTCTAGGGTTGCGGTGCTCATCTCCATTTCAAGCCGAAGAGCCAGCGCTGTCCGAAGACGTTTCCGTGGTCATGTGGCTGGCATGACTAAACACCAAGGCGCACAGTACGCTGTTACCTTCCCACCGAAGTGGTACGTCTTTATCTCCTTGCAATTTCTTGCTTTCGAACTGCCTGGTTGGCAGGAACAGCTACTTTTAGGGGCAAATAAACATCTGTCAGAGCTAAATTCGAGTCCAGATAGCACCTTAGGGACCAACAAGATTTTTGGGGTTTGGGGAGCGGACCAACAAAGTCTTGTCGGTCACAAAGGTACTACCTGGACTCTTAGGAGATGTGTTGTTCCGGTGTCTGAATGGGGTCTCTCTTCACTTCCCTGCACAACTAAAAATCCCGTTCTTGCTTCTCTTGTCTCAGGATTCTTGGATGCCTTCAACATTGATACGAAGAGGCCCCGCATTATACCCGGCTCTAAAGAAGCGTATTTTGGCTATACAGTCCAGCAGCATGAAATCAATGGGAAGAAATGGTAAATGAATCCCTTACGGGATACTGACGCATTATCGCTTTTCTGTGCTAATGGCAGGAAGTCTGTCTTTGACGGTGTCTGGAAGGCCGCTGTAAAGTAACAGGCAGGCCGAGGAATTTTGGGATCCAGGTGTCCTTCCTGAGAGATGGGATAAGAAAGGCTTCGAGCACCTGAAATTTAGATGCAGAGGCTTTCGCTGAAGACAAAAGGCATTACAGGGGTCCGTTTGAGTACCCGTCCAGCAAAACTGGCGCTTCCTTTTAAAAGAGGGGTTGCAGTGGGAATGGGCGTTCCCATGTGCCTTGCTGCTAGAGGGTGTGTGTGTGTGGGGGGGGGTTTGCCAGCAGTGTTCCCTCTAAGCTGAGTTAGTGTGAGCTAGCTCACAGTTTTTTAGCATCCAGCTCACACATTTTTGTCTTGGCTCAGGAAGGAGGGCTCCAGAGCAAACTAATGGATGCAGTAGCCCAATCACTCGCTCATGACTTTAATGCCAGGAGCTCACAAAGTAGAATTTGTGCTCACAAGACTCCACAGCTTGGAGGGAACATTGGTTGCCAGATCCAGGTTGGGAAACTCCTGGAGATTTGGGGGATGGAGCCCAGGGAGGACAGGGACCTCAGTGGGGCGCAACGCCACAGAGCCCACCCTCCAAAGCAGCCCTTTCCTCCAGGGGAACTGGAGAAGTGGCTACCACAAATTGTGTGAGTCTTTAAGACGCTCCTGGACTCTTCTCTACTGCTCAGCAATGGTCCCTCTAAGCTGTGGAGCAAAAGTGAGCAAAAATACTACTATGTGAGCTCTTGGCATTAAAGTTGTGAGCAAGCGATTGGGCTACTGCATAAATCAGTTTGCTCTGGAGCCATCCTTCCCGAGCGAAGACAGAAATGGGTGAACCGGAAGCTAAAAAACTGTGAGCCAGCTCACACTAACTCAGCTTAGAGGGAGACAGGCAGTGGTCTCTGCTGATCGCCTCTCCCACGGCAGATCCTTCATACCCCCCCCATTCTATTCTTGAGGGTCTACCAGTCCCCAGGAACAAAATTTCACAAGGCCCTAAGGTTGCCAACCTCCAGGTGGGGGCCTGACGCTCTCCCAGAATTGCAATTGATCTTTGAACCATGAAGATCGGTTCCCTGGAGAAAAACGGAGGGTGGACTCTGTGCCATTATGGCCTGCTGAGGTCGCTCCACAGGCTCCACCCCAGATCTCTGGGGATTTCCCAGCCTGGAGTTGGCAACCCTAAGACTGTGGTGGGAAGGGGAGGCAGAAAAGTCCCACCCCGCAAGGTCTAAGCTTGTCATTCTTTTGATCTGTTAAAAAAAGCGTCCTCACTATTTTGCAGGCTAATTTAACAAACCACTCCTGTATATACAATTATGATGTGTAATCCCATTTCATCGTCTGACGAAGTGTGTGTGCACACAAAAGCTCACACCTTGAATAAAACTTTGTTGGGCTTCAAGGTGCCCCACGGGACTCTAACTTCGTTCTATGGCTTCAGACCAACACGGTTGCCCACCTTGATCTATCTGCAAGGTCTGTGGTTCACTGGATAAATGCTGGTGTGGGAGCAATGAAAACTGTATATGATTTTAGAGACAGAAAGCCGAAGTAAGGGCAGAAGGACTCTGATAAATGGCCCTTTGAAATAAAGAAGATGCTCAGAAAGTCCTCTCATAATAACTAATTTACTAATACAGAACAATGTGGAAAACAAGAACTCTACAAGTATATTGTTTTACTAATTCTTTTAATATTAAGTTTAACATAAAGGGGGTCTCCCACTTTTGGGTTTTTAGTTAGTGTGGGTATCTTTCCTTTATCCATAGTTGTAGTTCCCCTTCCTATATTTTTCTTTGTAGTTTGTAGTCATATTGAAAAAATAAAAATACCCCTCCGGGGGTTTCAAAAAAAAAAAGATAAATGCTGGTGACTGAATGTCACAGAGTTGAGAAGCCCTGGCTCTGAGGTGGTGTGAAAGTTGTATGTGGGGTGTCAGGGGCCGTAGCAGACCATACACTGAACATGAGTCAGCAGCGTGATGCAGTAGTTAAAGAGGCAAATGCCATTTTGGGCTGCATCAACAGAAGTAGAGTGTCCAGATCATGCAAAGCGGTGGTATCACTTTACTCTGCCCTGGTTAGACCTCGCCTAGAGTAGTGTGTTCAGTTTTGGGCGCCACAATTTAAGAAGGAGATAGACAAGCTGGAATGTGTCCAGAGGAGGGTAGTGAAGATGGTGAGGGGTCTGGAGACCAAGTCCTATGAGGAAAGTTGGAAGGAGCTGGGTATGTTTAGCCTGGAGAGGAGACGACTGAGAGGTGATATGATAGCCATCTTCAAGTACTTGAAGGGCTGTCATCTAGAGGATGGGGCGGAGTTGTTTTCTGTTGCCCCAGAAGGTCGGACCAAAACCAACGGGTTGAAATTAGATCAAAAGAGTTTTTGGCTTGGAAGAACTTCCCGACAAAGCAGTTCTTCAGTGGAATAGGCTTCCTTGGGAGGTGGTGGGCTCTCCTTCTTTGGAGGTTTTTAAACAGAGGCTACATGGCCATCTTACAGCAATGCTGATTTTGTGAGCTTGGGCAGAGCATGAGAGGGAAGGCAGGAAGGGTTGCCTCAGTGCTTAGTTCTTGTGGCCCTTTCTTACATGCCCAAGGAAATGCTGATCACCACGTTGGGCTCAGGAAGCCATTTTTCTCCAGGCCAGTTTCGCTGGAGATCCTGGAGGTTTTTTTGTCATCTTCTGGGCGTGGAACAGCGGACACTGTGGGTGTTTGGGGGGGAGGTATTTGTGAATGTCCTGCCTTGTTCAGGGGGTTGGACTAGATGACCCTGGAGGTCCCTTCCAACTCTATGATTCTATGATTCTAGGATACAAAGAGGAGTCCACATGGGTTGTCTGTAACTGCACGTGCAAATCCTCCTTTCCGTTTGCGCTCACGCAGTTAACAGCTAGGAGTGTGTGAATCGCAGACGTCTCCCGTTCCCCTCCAGTGCCTCAAAATAGATGCCTCAAAATAAAATAAGTAGCTAAAGGGTTTCTTTAACCAACAAAGAAATTGTGAACCCACCATGACTCACACGACTTAAAATATGACTCACTGAACAAACAAACCTCATGTACTACAAACCCGGCAGACGTATGCTGCGCTACCAAAGAATTTAGCGGCTGGAGGGTTGCGGTGCCCGGCACTGGAAAGCACAAATAAGCAAAACCAGACTGTGATGCAAAGGGAGGAACCAAATGACGGTCCTTGAACAAGAACCTGCAAGGATTCCAGAATTCCACTGCGAGGCACTGGGGGAGGAGGAGAAGCAGGGAGCCACCAGAAGACATTTTCGGAAGGACCAGCCCACCCAGCGGAGGCTCACCCAACATTGGCACTTCCCAACATTGGCAGGCCCCCAAGTATTGAGAGGAATTTAAGCTCCCTATGCAGAGTGGAATTTCGCTAAGCGTTTCTGCCTTCTTCCAATAAGATAACATTTGCCCTGGGATATATTAGGTATATTAGACTGTTACTAGTAGTGAAGCTCATTGTAAAATCAGTACAACGAGCTCTAGAAAGCCTTGCCCTCCTCCTTTGCCGCCTTGTCCTCCGTGGCACTGGCCCCTGTCTGCTCGCAGCCTGGCCACTAGCACCCGGCCGCAGCTGATGATGACCGCTGAGGCACTGCCATGGTCGGCCTCAGCCTCCTCACTGTCCACGCGCCTGAGCGTCTGGGCCATCTGTCAGCCCCCAGCACACGGAGCCCGAGACGCTGCCAGTTCTATGGGCTTGCAGCTTGCCTGGCTACCTGTACCCAGCCAAAGCCAATGACAGCTGCTGAAGGGCCACCATGGTCGGCCTTGGCCTTCTCAGCCTCCGCCCACTGAAGCATCCATCCCGTCGGTCACCTTGCACCACACTGAGCTTGAGACACTGGCCACCACTTCTGTGGTCGAGACTCAGGCAATGCAGCCAGTGGATTGGCACACCCTCGGAGTGACAGGTCAGGGAGCCAACTGATTTGGGAGCGCATGGAACGTTCAGCAAAGTGTCACCCCAAAACAGAATTATATGTAAGGAGAGATGCTAGGAAAAGATGAAGACGGCAGGAAAGAGGAAGACCCGACCATGAGAAGGCTTGACTCAGTCAAGAAAGCCACAATTTGCAAGACACACGCAAGGCTGTTAACGAGAGGGTGTCTTGGAGGTCATTCATTCATTCATTCATTCATTCATTCATTCATTCATTCATTCATTCATTCATTCATTCATAGAGTCACCGTGAGGTGGAAGCAACTTGGCAGCACCTAACATAACAGATGGAGCTGCGGTGGCTCAAGTGGTTAAGACGCTGAACTGCAGGCTGTGGAAGGTCGGTAGTTCAGCAGTTCGAGACCCAAGTGTGCCGCATGATGGAGTGAGCTCCCGTCTCTAGTTCCAGCTCCTGCCAACCTAGCAGTTTGAAAGCAAGAAATTGCAAGTAGATCAATAGGTACCACTTTGGTGGGAAGGTAACAGCGTTCCGTGCGCCTTGGTGTTTAGTCATGCCGGCCACATGACCACGGAAACGTCTTCAGACAGCGTTGGCTCTTCGGCTTTGAAACGGAGATGAGCACTGCAACCCTAGAGTCGGACTCGACTGGCTTTCGAGCAAGGGAGACCTTTACCTTTAACATAAGAACCAACAGAACAAAGTTTGAGTCCAGGGGCCCCTTTGAGACCAACAAACTTTTATTTTGGGTATAAGCTTTCATGTGCATGCCCAGAATAAAACTTTGTTGGTCTTAAAGAAGAAGAGAAGAAGAGATTGGATTTATACCCCGCCCTTCACTCGGAGTCTCAGAGTGGCTGACGATCTCCTTTCCCTTCCCCTCCCCACAACAGACACCCTGTGAGATAGGTGGGGCTGAGAGAGCTCTTTCGAGGACTGCCCTTGAGAGAACAGCTCTGAGCGAACTTGTGACTGACCCAGCTGCCTCAGGACCCTAGAAGATATGCGGCTATCTTA